GAGGCTGTGTGTGTGCTGAACAGCAGACTCCTCTCTGCCATCCCTTCATCTGCTTGGAGGAGGTGTGACATCCCAGTCTTGTCTCTTTGTCCTTTTCCACTTGTTCAGGTGACCTGACACGGCCCGAGACACCTCTGTGCTCCTCTCACTGTGTGATGCCCTTGAGATTTTGGGAGACGGCTAACACATGTCTTTTCTAGGCCTTTTCTCCTCCAGGGGAATCAGACCTAATTTATTCTCCTGGGTCCCAGGTAGATACTTCTGGACTCATTCCTGTTTGTTTTTAAAGAGATTTGGGCCTGGCACGACATCTTCTCTGAACGCCGCTGGTTCCCAGCAGTTGTAGTCCGAGCTTTGAGACTAAACATCAACACACAAACAGCAAACCTTTTAGTTTCTTCTTCTACAATTTATTGAAGACTAATAGGGGACTGGCTGATACATATATTTCATACACACACACACACACACACACACACGCAGGCTTTCCCAGCTTTAAGAATTAGAACAGTTGCCCATTTGTGTCTTTCTATCCGCATTCTCTAAGGTCTCTTTAAGGTTACAGATTCCCAGAGCCAAAACCATTCTTGACGTTTTCTTCTTTTAAATTTTTTCTTGGGTGCTTCATATGTAGCTGAAGACACAGAGTAAAAAGCCCTCATCAACGGACCGCTGGATGAACTGAGCATCTGTTCTGAGATGGGTTTGGAAAGAAAGCTTCGCCTTTGGATGGAGGAGTCAGAATGGCCATGTTCCCCAGGGTCACCTCTGGGCATGTGGTCAGCTCAGGGCAACCTCCCTGAAGCAGCCGTGCTCTAGTTTAGCAGCCTGGGCTTAGGGGGCTGCTCTTCCCAGGTGCCTTGCCCTTTGCTGCTGTTGGAAACAGTAAGGACAGAGCAGCAGATGCTTGTCTCTGTTCTAACCCAGTGGCCAGCCTCTACGTTTGTTGTCCTTCCGCCTTCCTCCTCCTCTCCCTACCTTTCTCCCTCTGTCCCTCCCTCCCTTGTTTCCTTCTTTCCAGTCCTCCCTCCTTCCCTCCAATCCAACCTCCTTCCTTCTTTCCTTCTCTGGCCAGAAAACCCTTTTGTTAGCAAACCAACAGTGGCGACTTCAAAGTCCAGAAGTATCTCCGCCCATCTCCCATTACTCACTTTGTGGCCCACTGTTGGGCAGCCAGGCATGTGGACAGAGTGCAGGCTCTGGACCCAGGCTTCCTGGACTGCAATCCTGCCCCTGCCTCCGATCAGCTGTATGACTTTGAGAATATCACCTAATTTCTCTGTGCCTCCATTCCCTCAGGTTTAAAATGAGGGCAGTATTAGTGCCTGTTTCCAAGTGTTGATATGAACATTACATGAGTTAATTTATTTAAATTCTTACTGCCAAATACAAAATTATTATTCAACAAAAAGTTGCCAAGTGTTAACTGAGTGGTTTGTTTTATGTAATTTGACACAAAGGGAAAATAATTATGAATTATTGCATGATGATAAATTTTGTGTCAATATTCATAAAGATATAATGTTAGACCTCAAGCTGCTTAGATTCATCTGTCTTTAAACTATATCTTAATTTTCATTGACTTTGATTATCAATGTATTTGTATTCATTTCCATCATCAAACTGCATTGTTCCATTTTCTTTGTACATTGCACTTGTTGCTACCTCCTTTCTTTTGTATTGAGAGTTTTTCTTTTTCCTTTAGTTCCATTTCCCTCCTTATGTTAGTTTGCAAGTAATATCTTCTATTAAATTTGGATGTGTACTTTTATAGAGTTTTCCCCTCCTTCCCATTAATACAAGGGCCTTGGAACACTTCCAGCAGGATTTCTTTGGAAGTATGCGATTGCATGTAGCAAAGATTCTTCACTTCCGCCCTGGCAGCTCCAGTGCTTTGAAGTCTGCTGTGTGTGGTTCTCCTCTCAGGACTGCCTGGCAGCCCCTCCCTGGGAGAGTCAGAGAACACAAGTGTTACTGTTCTACCACTTGTTACTGTTGTAACTGGAGTTGTCTCCTGCACTAGTGTTTTCAGAATGTTTGACCAAGCCCAGTAGTAAGAAATAGACTTTTATTTATATGCAATATATACATAAATATAATGTGTTCCTAAAAACATTTTTCATGAAAGAAAGCTTCCCTTAGTCTATATTATATACTTGGAGCTACTCTATTCTTCTCTGTCATTTAAAACAAAAACAAACAAAAAAACTGATCGAACCCATTAAACTATATATCCACCAAGGAATCCTGACCCATGTTTTGAAAAATCCCAGACCTAGACTGCAGTCCTCACTTTACAACTGAACAAAGCCCAGGGCCATGCAGTTAGGACCCATATCTCTGATCTCTTATCTCCACATCCAGTTCTTTGTCCACATACATCACTGAGACCAGTAACAATACAGGACAGAAGAAAAAAGGGAGTGTTTTGTGAACTATACTCATGAAACAGAGAGCCAGACCCTCCAGCTACCTCAGAGACATCAGATTTTGTTGGGAATGAAGAAGCTAGAATAATCACTGCTTAGTAAACCAAACACAGTGTTGGGCACCATTTTCCATTATCTCTAATCCTTCCAACCACCTCCCAGCCAATCCAGTTCATGATCTTTATTTTATAAAGGAGAAAATGGAGGCTCAGAGAAGTGATTCACGTAACTAGAAAAGTAGCTCATCAGGTGTAGACATGGGCACGGAACTTTCCTGCCTTCCACCACTTCTCTGAAATTCTTTACTTGTCTTGCTGGAAAGAAGTTAAAACCACAGTTGTACTCTCCAGGACTCACTCCAACCAGCAAGCATAACTAGTTAGTGATACACTGTATAGACTTGCTTGTTTAGTCTCTCTCTTCCATTAGCATTTTAGCTTTCTGGATGCTTGGTCGGTCTCTACCTTGTTGACTGTCTGGTATAGCTTCTAGCACATTTTAAGAATGAGCTGAGGGGGCTGACACTGTGGCACAGCAGGGTTAGCCATAGTTTGCAATGCTGGCATCCTATATGCATACCGGTTTGAGTCCCGACTGTTCCGCTTCTGATCCAGCTTCCTGCTAATGCACCTGGGAAAGCAGCAGAGGATGGCCCAAGTCCTTTGGCCCACATGGGAGACTCGGAAGAAGCTTCTGGCTTCAGACTGACCCTTCTCCAGCTGTGGTGGCCATTTGGGAATAAACTAGTGGATGGAAGGTCTCTCTCTCTATATATATAAAACTTATAACTGACTTTCTTTTTTATTTTTATTATTTATTTATTTATTTTATTTTATTTTATTTGACAGGTAGAGTTACAGATAGTGAGAGAGAGAAACAGCGAGAAAGGTCTTCTTTCTGTTGGTTCACTCCCCAAATGGCCGCCACGGCCAGCGCTGTGCTGATCCAAAGCCAGGAGCCACGTGCTTCCTCCTGGTCTCCCATGTGGGTGCAGGGGCCCAAGCACCTGGGCCATCTTCCACTGTCTTCCCGGGCCACAACAGAGAGCTGGACTGGAAGAGGAGCAACCGGGACTAGAAGCCGGCACCCATATGGGATGCCAGTGCCGCAGGCGGAGGATTAACCAAGTGAGCGATGGCGCCAGCCCCTAACTGACTTTCAAAAAACAAATAAATATTTTTTAAAAAATGAGATGAATCTTTGTTGAATGGGCATAATACAGAGTTGGGTCACCTAGTAGACAAGGGCACAGCCTGTGGAGAAAGACTGCCTGTATTCAAAAATAGGTATCCCTTAAAAGCTACTTGATCGTAGGCAAGTTAGTGAAGTTCTCTTGTGCCTCATTTTTTGCTGGGGACAATAATGCCAAACTCCACAGAGCGGTCCTATGTGTTAGTCAAGGAAAGAGTCAACACTAGCGTCTGGCTTACAGTAAGCATAAAGGTTACCTATGGTTATTACAACTAAGTTGGGCAGTGTTGAGCCTCTGTCTCATGTTAGGAGAAAACTCACAGAATTCAGAGATAAGTACGACCCACTGCCTGGAGACTCAGAAGAGACTTCACTGTTCACATTCAGTTGTAGCAGAATTTAAAAAGCATGTTTTTAACGATCCTATCATGAAAGATTTATTTCAGGCAAAACAGATCTAAACCTAGAGCCTATGATTAAGCAGATAGCCTGTGACTATGTCAACAAGAATGGAGTGCTTTCTAAGCATCAACACAGATGCACAAAGAATAAAATTTGCGAGTAGGTAATTTAGTTAAAACACTAGGAGAATGCAGTAGCTGCAGTCCATCTTATTTGCAGAAATGCACTAAAAAATCTAATTTAGAGGCCGGCACCGTGGCTCACTTGGCTAATCCTCCGCCTGCTGTGCCGGCACTCCGAGTTCTAGTCCCAGTTGGGGCGCTGGATTCTGTCCCAGTTGCTCCTCTTCCAATCTAGCTCTCTACTGTGACCCGGGAAGGCAGTAGAGGATGGCCCAAGTGCTTGGGCCCTGCACCCGCATGGGAGACAGGAGGAAGTACCTGGCTCCTGGCTTCGGAGTGGCGCAGTACGCCGGCTGTAGCGGTCATTGGGGGGTGAACCAACGGAAAAGGAAGACCTTTATCTCTGTCTCTCTCTCTCTCTCGCACTAACTCTGCCTGTCAAAAAAAATCTAATTTAGAAAACAGAAGAATTTAAGATTAAGTGTAAGCCCTGGAGACAGGGAGTCCTCCCCCACCATTTCACCCTGGAATTGAGCCACAATTTTCTCAGCTGTCAAGTGTGGATAGTGATGGCAGGTGCCACCAGCATGGTTCAGAGAACAGCCAGAGATCATGGATGTGCAGTGGTGTTTTGCAGATAAGGGAACTAGAATGTGGCTGATAATCAAGGCAGTTCCCAGCTGTTTGCCTCCCCAAAGCACAGATTTGCTTAGATGAAGGGTGCAAGTCTGCTTTGCAGTTGTCCAAACAAGTCCTTACGGGCCCTGGATGCCACTGACCAAAAGCTGGGAGAAAGGAGCCCCGAATAAGCAGCCTGGAGTCTGAGCACCTGTTGCTTCCTCTTCTCTCTCCCCAGGGGCATTTGTGGTCTGCTGGACCCCAGGCCTGGTGGTGCTGCTCCTGGACGGCCTGAACTGCACTCAGTGCGGCGTGCAGCACGTGAAGAGGTGGTTCCTGCTGCTGGCACTGCTCAACTCCGTCATGAACCCCATCATCTACTCGTACAAGGACGAGGACATGTACAGCACCATGAAGAAGATGATCTGCTGCTTCTGCCAGGAGAACAGCCCCGAGAGGCGCCCCTCCCGGGTGCCCTCCACGGTCCTCAGCAGGAGCGACACGGGCAGCCAGTACATAGAAGACAGCGTTAGCCAAAGCACAGTCTGTAATAAAAGCAGCAGCTCCTAAGCTGTGGCTGCCCCTGGGGTGACCTGTCTCCACCAAAGCCCATGGACAGTGTTATTTGAGGTCTGAATTGATCACTGCTAGATTTAGATTTTTTTTTTAATATTGTCTTCCATAATTTCAAAGCAGGGACACCGGGCGTTTTGAGAACACGCACGGTGGATTTCTGCTTGTCCTGGGAAGTGCTCAGAGCATCTGCCCACCCCGCCGGCGCTCTGGGCTCTGCTGCCTCCACCAGAGGATGTTGTTAAAGGGCTCAGGCCAAAATAAATGATAAATAATGTTACTTGAGCCACCTTAGGTAGCTTCTTGGAAAGCCTCTGTAGTCCTTCTTGTATGCATTTGTACTTTTTAGAGATGCTTGGGCAATAGTTTTTTTCCCCATCAAAGAAACATGGCCAGTAGCTAAGTGTTCAATAGGAACCTAAGAATAACAAATCCGTTAAAGGCTCCAGATTCAACCTGATGTTTAACTAAAGGAACATTCCGAGGAAAATACTGACTTAATAATAACAAACAAGGGAAACGTTTAAAGCCTCCTTGGGAGTGAAACAGGCCTCAGTGTGCTGCTCCGAGTGTGCACACGTGTGCAGATGTGTGTGCCTGTGTGTGTGTTTATATGACCTAACTTTGTGTTTAAAGACTCCAGAGACACTGATGGCGAAGTAAATCTGCTGGCACCGAGACTGCTCCATCGAGGACAGTAGCTGCAGACACAGCCTGTTGTGGTCTAAGAGAAAGGAGAGAGAGGTGCCCCTTGGAAACTAGCAGTTTCTAGAGAGCCGAGTCAACGCTGTGCGGATGAGCAAGGTTATCTGCGGATGAGCAGGCCGGATCCCTAGCAGAGAGCCTCAGCTGGGAGCTTCGCTTCAGCCCTTGTGTTTCAACCACTGATGGCTGCTCAGACCGTATACGTGGGCGCTTTTCACGTCTCCTATTTTGCCCAGAGTTATCCACGTGTTTCTTGCACTTGTCTTACTTGTGGGCAGAATTTTGCCGTGGGTTCTATTTTGAATTCTCCTTCGAAGATCTAAGAAGGTAAGGTAAAGGGCAAGTTGGCCAAGAAGAAAACGCAAGGTTGCACTCCCGAAAGCTACTGACCAAAGTTGGCTGTGGAAGCACTCAGAGTGTGTTCTGACCTAAAGGAAGAAGAACATCCAGGCAGATATGATCGTATTTATGTAGTTTGCAGAAGACGTTTACATTGTTTGCTGTTGTGATATAACATTTTTGTGCAAGAACTACTTGTAATAAAAAGATTTGAGAAGCCATGCTTTTAGATAGAATGGCCTAAAATAGAGAGTATAATGATTTGAAAGTATAGATTTCACAAACTGTGTAGTCAGTGGGTCTATCTGAAGCTTATATCAAAGCTACCTGTAAAATAAAATTTTAAAAAGATGTGTCCTCTCTTGTTGAGCTACTTATTGTTTTGTGTGTTTTCTAAGTAAACAATGCAGTTTGTGGTAACTCTAGCACACCTTTCTATTGCAGAAGACACATCAAGTTTGCCACAAAGTACATACTCTCAGTGTTTTATGTAAGCATTTTGAGTCACAGCTGGCCAAACAGTGGGGAATTGAAACTGAATTCCAGTCCCCAAATAGCTACTCAGGGATCTGCAAAGGTTTTATTTTAAGGAAAGAACCATTTTTATACCGTGCAGCAGAGAGCCATGTTCAGGATGCTGTCTGGAGGGGCTCTGAAGTGTGGAGACTCCCGGTGGAAATGTAATGCTTTTCTTTTTGTGCACGCACACACAAATCCACAGCGGTGCAAGAGTAGAAAAGAATGTATATCTGGAAATGACAGGCGTCTGGGTTCTCAGGTCTTGCTGAAAACACTCGACAAACCCAGCCCTTAGTAGGGGGTGGAGAGAAACAAAGAATATTCTTGCTTAGATTCTACAGTCCCAAGGTTATCTGCAAGTCACTGCTATGGTGATACTGCAGATTTCATCCAGACTTTGCCAAAGCACCTGTGACTCAAGGCATGGGCCGCTCCCCATCCAAACAAGATTGCATTTTCTTAGATTTGTCCAAGTTGTTCTGATCAGTCTGTGTTAGTGAAAGAAGTTAGGTCTCCATGGCAACTGCCTGCTTGAAAAAAAAAGGAATGTTTTGGAAATAAATTTTTTCATGATGAATTTTTTTTCATGTGGGTAGTAGGCTTGGGGCCAGTTATTGGCCTTCAAAAGCCCTACGTTGCCTACGTTTGTGCTAATTCCAAACACACACAATTCCAAACCACACAATAAATGCAAGTCTCTGACACAGTTCTAATTTTCCTCAGAATCAGCACTTAGATGCTTTTGTAATACTACAAATCCCAATGCAGACGTGTTGGTTCCCTGGCTCCATCAGCATTCAGAGCACATGATTAGCCCATGGTAGGATGGCCGGGGACCAGGTCCCTGTGGTGTCACATCAGAAGTGTTAGTGCAGGCGGCACAGCTGTACTCATTTGCAGCATGGTCCAGTGCAGAGCCCAGGGCGTGCTGTGCTCTGTGTTTATAGACTGGTTTTCCTCCTGAGAGGCAGAGTGCTTTGTGCTTATTGGCTCTCTGATCTTCTCATCATTATGGGCAGGAGGTTGAGGGGTGGGGGGAGCAGCAATAAGATGGCTTGGGCTTCTTTTTGATTGGTTGATGATGAATAATGAAAGTAAGCCTTGGGAAGACACCTGGGAAGGTGAGTTATCAATGAACTCCAGCCCTGTCAGAGCCTGGAGTGAAAATAACCAAAGCATTAGCCCACGTGATGGTGCACCTCACTGTGTACTACAGTTACTAACCCGCAAACACAGACCTAACTCTGGGAAGTCTATCAGAGAATTCCATCACCCTGGTGGAGCACTGATGTGGAGTTAAACTGGGAACCCCTAGGGATCTGTCTGATGTTACACATACTGTATTCAGGCACTGGAGTTGGGGTTAGAGTCACTTAAAGATGAGGAATTCTAAAGATTTTAAAGGAAGACAGGCTGCATTTTGTGTGAAGGATGCTGTCCTGAACACAACACATAATTTTAAGACTATTTTCACAGAGAAATAAATATTAGAACGGATGCTGTTGTGAGGTTGGTTTGTCTTTTGTCGTTCTGCTGTATTTTATCTTTATACCATTGCTCCAGTGCTTTTTAGAGTGTGCTCTTTCCTAAATTAACAGATTGCAAACTATTGATGGCAGTTGGTAGGGGCTCATAGAGTTTTGTTATTTATACTTTTTTTAAATTTATTTATTGGGCTGGTGCTGTCATGCAGGGATTAAGCCACAGTCTGCAGCACCAGCATCCCATGTGAGTGCCAGTTTGAATCTCTGCTGCTCCTCTTTGGAGCCAGCTCCCTGCTAACGTGCTTAGGAAAGCAGCAGAAGATATCTTGAGTGCTTGGGACACTTACCCATGTGGGAGACCTGGAAGAAGACTTCAGATCAGGCCAGCTCCGGCGGGTGTGGCCATTTGGAGAGTGAACCAATGGATGGAAGACCTCTCTCTGACTCTCTCTTTCTCTAATTCTGACTTTGAAATAAGTAAAACACATCTTTTAAAATACCCTCAAATATATAAACACCCCTTTAAAAAGATATTATTTATTTATTTGAGAGGCAAACCCAGCCCTTTGTAGCCCCCTCAAGTGGAAGACAGTCTACATCACACAGCACACGTGGGCTAAGCATGTACTGTGAGTGCCAGTGAGGCCAGGGACCCAACACCTCTACATTGGGATTTGTAGTATATAAAACATCCAAGTGCTGATTCTGGGGGAAATTAGAGCTGTGTTGGAGACTTGCATTTATTTTCTGGTTTGGAATTGTGTGTGTTTGGAATTAGCACAAATATAGGCAAGGTAATGTCATTATCATTTCTGTGCATAGGCTGATGAAGGCCAATAACTGGCCCCAAGCTTATGCATATGAAGAAAAATACAGTAAGAAATTGAAAAAATTTATTTCTAAAACATTCTCTTTTTTTTTTTCAAGCAAGCAGTTGCCATGGTGACCTAATTTGAGCCCCCCTGGGCACATTAGCAGGGAGCTGGATGGGAATTGGAGCAGCCAGGACTCCAACCATTACCCATAATGGATGCCAGTGCCACAGCACTGGCCCCCATCTGTAACTTCTGAGCTAAGTGTTTATAGTGAAATCACGTGTGGAGATTGCAAAGCACATGAGTGAATGTGTGGGCAACACTTCAGCATGTGACACTGCAGTGACTCTGTGTGGCAATCCACAACATGGTTTGCCATTCACTGAGCCAGCCAATCTTGGAATTTGCAGTTCCTAGCAGTTTTTTGCAGCTAAACAATATAATTTTCTGTACTAACAATTTCAACTTTGCATAATTCAAATTTCCATAAAGTCCATCTGTACTTTATTTTCTGTTGAGAGTGTGTGCATTGCACAGTAATAAGGTACATTCAAGAGAAAGGGGAGGAGATGCCTGCTAGGAGACAGTTTTACATCTTAGAAAGGCGTATGCCTTCATCAAGATACATTTGAATCTATTCAAAATTCAGAATATTCAAAACACAATGAGTAACTTGGAACTTTACTGCAATCTGCCAGAAAACCCTGTCAATTAATATGCCTGTCAACAGTATTCCTAGCGTAAGTAGAGTTGTGTAGTTCACCACTCCAGCAAGTGCACATGATAACCCATACTAAAGAAAGTACTGAGCTAAATTCTGAATATGTGGGTTCTGACTTCTTTCCTACACTGTCTATGAAACTCTAAACATGATTGCTGGGCTTCTAAATGAGAGGTTGAAATTAAAAGATCTGTAAGGATCTTTCCATCTCCAAAGTCCTGATTTCACATAGCATCTCCCAGATGAGAATCCTGGAAGGAGCCATAGTCAGGATACTGTGACTTTCATTTATTGCATAGGGATTTCAATGGAAAGGAGCCCTATTGTCATTTACTGCAGTGTTTCTCAGGTTTCAGAATAAGAATCACCTAGGGAGATGATCTAAAATCTGCGTTGTAGGTAGTTGTGACATGTATGATCATAAATCCATCTTCAGTACAGAGCAGGAGGGTTTTCTGGAACTAAATGGAACTGCTAACCCGTGCAGAGAGCCTAACAGGCTGGATGACCTCCTTATGTTTCCTAAGAGTGGACTTAATGGTGAAACACGTGAGCTGCTCTTTTCTTCCTCATGACAAATAGAAAACCGCACATTAATCTCTTGAACATTTCCAACGTGCTGGGGACTCTGCACTCTCCACCGAAAAAAACTCTTGCTCTTAAAAGCGTTAGCAAAATCATAAATCAAACATATACACAAATACCAAATAAGGGAACTGAAGTGAAAGGGAGCTGAAAACAGGAGGGACATGTGGTTCTTGTTGCTGCCGGTCTTAAGGTATAACGATAGCACATTGATGATATCGATAAACTTTGTGTATTTGGCCTCTGGAATATCATTCTTGATAACAGAATTCTCTAACACCTATTGGAAGAAAAGGGCTACTTTGGGGGTTAAAACATTTTACAGTTTATGAGTTGGGGATATGGTACTGATGATCTAAACTAGACTTCTGTGTTTTGCTTTGCTTGTGTGCATACTTGACCACAGGTTTATATAAATTTAGCAGATGGGACACATCAGTTAGTCTTAAGTCAGAAAAACAAACTATTCTGGGTATTTAAGGCAGGGAAGTTTTTAAAACAGGCAATTAGGTGCTCATAAAACAGTTGGAGAGGCCAGAGGGAGCTGGAGAAGGGAAGCCCACAATTAGGTTTCAGGTTTGCAGTTAACTTTTCGCCATTTATTGCTGCACAGTTCAGGGCTCTCTGGAAGCAGCCTGCTGAGGTCAGTAATTTGTGGAAGGACACCCAGAGGCCACTGCCCAACCTCAGATTTCAAATCTGCATCTAGAGGAAGAGCGTGGCTCCTGCTTCCCTTCTGGTCTCTTCATCTCTCATAATTAGCTGGCACTGGCAGGTCTAACCTGGGACGTTTCCTGTCTCTATATTCTGGGAAGTGTAGTGCCAAGGCTTCCAGCCCTCCGGATGCAGGAGAACGTAGAGAACAGATGAGCAGCAGAGCTGAGCGCTGACGTACAAACCAGCCCATGGGGAAAGGAAAAAGAAAGGGCAGGGCCGGGGAACGGTTCTTGGCTTCTGGCACTTTCCCCTTTTCCTCAGACCTATTAGGGAAGAGATAGTATAACTAGTTCTACAGTAAGGGGTAAAACTTCTTTAAAACATTGTGTTGGTACATGCCATGTGAAAGTTCCTCATTATAATATCGGGATCTTCCAAAAGCATTGTCTTCCAAAGACAAAAAGAATGTAAGAGCATAGCTCGTGTGTTATTAGCTGTTCATAATCCATATCCGTGACATCGAAGCTGACAGTAATGCACAAGAAATAAATTATTCAAATTATTCATGGTTAGA